GGATTCTCTTCAATTCTTCCATAAAACTGATGTCCGTTCTGGAACAGTTGTATCACATTTGTCATGAACTGGAAATTTGGCTGTCCGAACGGTGGATACACAATGCTGGACTGACTTTGAATGATTTGAGGGGTCATGAACTCTCCAACGAGCATGTTTCCTTCGTCTTCTTCCCCTCTTTTATTGGCTTGTACAACAGGATTGTGTTGTACGTTCTCCATCTGATTTCTCGCTGCTCTGTTTTCTCTCTGCCTTCTTCTGAAGCTTCGTTCGATTCCTGGGTTGGCTGGGAGTAGATCTCCTTCAGCAGATCTTGGCATACACTTCTGCAATATAATTCAATTTAAGGATTTAAGTAAATAAAATATGCACTTATGTAATAAAACTAACTAACAATAAAATAAAATGAACTAAAATAAATTAAAAATAAAAAGTTCCAATTAGTGCTAAATTGAATAAAATTAAACGAATACTTAATCCCCGGCAACGGCGCCAAAAACTTGTTCACGAAATAATTCTTTCATTTTAAAACTACCACAAGTGTACGGTTCGTAACAAGTAATAAAGTGGATTTTAAAAAGTCCGAATATCGTCCCTCAGAGATTGAGTAGTTCAATTCTATATAATCTAGCCTTAACCGAATCTAATAGAGTGAAAATATGGTCTAAATGTAAAAAGCCTTAATTTCAATTAAAAACCCTAATTTCTCAATTAGAAACCCTAATTTCGAAATTTCTCTAATTTAACGACTCAAACACTCAAGTAACTTTACAACCTTGCCATTTTGGTCCCTGAACTCCGTTTTCTCTTTTCTTGATCTCTTTTCTTTCTTTCCTTTGTTCCATTATCAAATATTGACTCCTAATTAATGTTTGGGTCAATCAATTCCTTGATCATTTGCTCGGCTCATCTTTTGATTAATTACAATTTAGTCCTTCATCTTCAACTTTTCTTCAATTCAGTCCAATGCTACTTCTTTCTTCCTCCGATCGTCTTGTATCATCATCAATCTCATACTTGGTATATTTTCATTCTAGTTCTGCACTTTAGCTCAACTTTCCAATATTTGCACCTTTGGTCCCCGAACTATCGCTTTGTTCCGTTTTGGTCCTTTTTCGGCTCTTTTCTTCTGAATTCTATCTTTTCCATAGAAACACCTACATTGCATAAATTTAATGAGATTAAGTCACAATTCAACTACTTTGTCCATGTTTAAGTCATGTTTGTGAACTAAATAAGTGTGTAAAAACACACTTATCAATCTCCTTTTATGATAGGTACATTACCATGTGCACAATTTTGCATATTTAACATTTCTAGAACATGTCGTATATAAACTTTTTGAGAAAGTTCCAACAAGCCACAATTTCTATCACGATGTATTTCAATGTCAAGTTACATTGGAAGCTTCTCCAAGAACTTTCATCTCAAAATTAACAAACAACATTTTCTTTGTCTCATGAAGTAACCCTAAGTTACTGCTAGCAAACAGAATGTCATCAACATACAGTACAAGAAAAATAAAATTTCTCCCACTGGTTTTAAGATAAATGCATTGATCAATAGTATTTTCAACAAAACCAAGAGAGGTCACAACCTCATCAAATTTCAAATACCACTGTCGAGATGCTTGCTTAAGTCTATATAATGATTTGTTTAACTTACATACCAAGTTCTCTTTTCCTTTCACAACAAAACTTTCAGGTTGTTTCATATAAACCATTTCAGAAAGATCTCCATTAAAAAACGTTGTCTTAACATCCATTTGATGAAGCTCCAAATTGTAGTGTGCCACAAGAGCCATGATAATTCGAAAAGAATATTTCGAAGAAACAGGGGAGAAGGTTTCAATATAATCAATGCCTTCTCGCTGAGTGAAACCTTTTGCAACCAATCTTGCTTTCTTTCATTCAACATTTCCTTTTGAATCTAATTTACTTTTGAAAATCCACTTGTTATCTATATCCTTAGCATCTGGAGGAAGTTCAACAAGATCTCAAACTTTATTCCTTTCCATGGAATTCATTTCATCTTCCATGGCAGCTATTCATTTATCTACATCAGGACTTGTCAATACTTGGTTATAAGTTACAGGATCAACAATATGCCCAATATTAAAATCGTTCTCCAATAAATATGTAATAGAATCACTAGGCAATGCAAATCTTCTTTTCCTTTGTGATCTCCTAACTTGTGGCTCAGGAACCGATTCAATCGTTGTTTGAGGAATTGGAGATTCTTCCTGGTTCCTTGGTTCTTCATTAAAAACTTCAATTGGTTGAGAACCAACTTTTTCCTGTATGACAGAAACTGGAACAACAACTTGATTAGGTTCAACAAGAATTTCTCTCAACGTGGAACTCCCACTATCTCCAAAATCGTTCTCCAGAAACTTAGCAGTAATGGACTCTACAATTCTAGTGCCGCGATTTGGAGAGTAAAACTTATATCCCTTTGATCTATCCGGATACCTAATAAAGTAGCCAGGAGTTGATCTAGGGTCTAATTTCTTTTCAAATAGATTATAAATCCTAATCTCAGCTGGACATTCCCAAACTTTAAAGTGAGCCATAATAGGCTTACGTCCTATCCATAATTCAAAATGTGTCTTTGCAACAGCTTTACTTGGAACTCTATTCAAAATATACACAGTTGTTTTCAAGGCTTCACCCCACAAATATTCAGGCAAATTTGTTCTACTCATCATACTTCTAACTATATCTTTTAGGGTTCGATTAAGTCTTTCAGAAATACCATTCTACTCAGGTGTTCCTGGCATGGTGTATTTGGGGCACTATTCCACATTCTTGTAAAAACTTTGCAAAATCACTTATATTTTAACCAAACTCGTCATATTTTTCATAGTACTCACTACATCGGTCAGATCTTACAACTTTGATATTTTTCCCACATTGTTTCTCTACTTCTAGTTTAAAAACTTTAAATTTATCAAGTACGTGTAATTTATCATTAATCAAGTAAATATATCAATATCGGGAGAAATCATCAATAAAGGTTATAAAATATTTGTTCCCACATATGGTGGAAGACAAAGGTCCACTGATATCAATGTGAATTAAGTCCAAAATTCCATTACTTCTAGTCGAACCTGATAAGAGTGTAAAATACCATATTTTCCCCTCTTAACTATTGCATTCATGTGATTATATTATGCCAAAATGCACTCATTACTCTTATATTTTGGTTTAGATTGTATTTTGGTGAAAAAGATGAAATTCGGAAGAAACAAGTGAAAAATGACCAAAGTAGAAGAGAACGAAAGTTCGAGGACTAAAGTGAAAATGATCCAAACTTGTGTCCAAGATTATGATGAAGATTCGAAAGTGTTAGAGGTCAAGTGTATGAGGAAAGAAGTCAAAGGGATGAAATAACATCAAAGTTTGATCAATACATCAATTTCCAATCGAAAACTAACACACCAGTTTTTAGTCTCATGTTGGGACCCATTTTTGACATGGAAGATGATCGAATTGGGAGATGACTTCTGAATAAAAATTGTGGCCCTTTGAGTTATCTATCCAATTCAACTTGAATCACCTCAATTGGATAACGGGAAAGAAAGTTATGATTAAAATACTAAAAGCTGTCTGGCGAAACCATGTGGCCGCATGCATTTCTACTATGCGGTCGCATACACCTATACCGAGAATTCAAGAGGCTGAAAGTGCATAACCATGCGACTGCAATGACAATAACCATGTGGTCACATAGTGTTTTTTTGGCGGCCGAATCTCAGTTTCCTTATACGATTGAATCTCTTATGGTAACCTAATTTTCACGGGATATAAATGCCCAAAACCACCCAGAACGAAGGGAGAGGCCCCCAGACCTATTTCTTTCATCTTGGTGCTCAAGAAACTCCATGGAAAACTAAGGAACTCGGTGAAGCAACGAAGGAACTCATTGGATTTGGAGATTTCACGTCACAATTTCATGTAATTCGAACTCTCTTTGCTTAATAATTTCTAGATTTGGATTTTCTCGTTATGAATTAGTATTGAAATTTGTTTAACTTTTAATAAATTTCTCATGGATTTAGTCATGCTTTTTTCATTGTTAAATTAAACTATTTGTTGAGTTTCAATTTAAATTACTTATTGTTGAGATTATTTTAACTTTTATCATATCCTTCATAGATCTAGCCATGCTCTTTCTATCGAATGATTGAAATAATTGTTAAATTTTAATCTTAATATCACTTTATTGGCGGATTGATTACTGCCTTATGCCTGACGTATATGGTCGATTTTTGATCTTGTTCCAATAAAAATGTGCGAATGTGTTATAGAAAATCTAGATTCTAGAAATATAATTGGAATAAAATTGGACTTCACTGTTAAATCTTCCAATTAGAGAGTTGGGAAGAAAACCTCTAATTGAGTAAAAATACATGAATTATTGATGTTGATTGATCCAATCCAATGGGGGAACTCCAACGCTTCACTAATTCGCATATTGATAATTAATTTTTATTTCAAGTGACAAATCATTCCCACATTTAATTACGAAAACCCTAGTTTGTTTGATCTTTTGAGAATTTTTCCATCTCCCTGTGGATACGACACCCCAAAGCTGTACTACAATCACCGCGTTATTCTTTGGGCATAATCAGAACCCTTTCTTGTAGATTTAGTTAGCTTTTCTCTTATACAATCTATACAGGTGTCAAAATCGAAGAAGTCTAAGGAGGGAAGTATCTCATCATTTACTAGTCTTTCCATTCTATCCTTAAAGACATGACCCAAAAGCTTATGCCACAACATAGAGGATGATTTACGAATTAAAGTTCTTTTCTTTGATACATTGGTAACACATGGGACATCACCAAAAGAAGCCAGAGATAATTTATATAAACCATCACATAAAATGTCATTCACAATCAAACGAGAATCATTAAATAACCTAACCATTCCATTACCAAAATTAAATGTAAAACCACAAGCATCAAGTTTCGGTATAGAAATTAAATTTCGTCTCATCTACGGTACATAAACTGTATTTTCCAAAACAAGATAAAAATTAGACTCTAAAGTTAACTTCACTACTCCTATGAATTCAACTTTCACTTGAAACCCATTTGCAACACTCAAGCTTACTTCATTCTCACTTGGCCTTCGTTTGCTCATGAACCCCTGCAAGGAATTCGCAATATGAATATTAGCTCTCGAATCTAACCACCAAGAATTCAAAGGTAGATCTACTAAAGAAGACTCAAAACAAACTAAGGCCAAGGGGATACCTGGAGAACTTTTCTTCTTTTCCAACCAAGTCTTGAACTTAAAACAGTCTTTCTGTCAGTGACCCTTCTTTTTACAGAACTTGCATTGATCATTTTTCTTTATAACTCCTTTGGGACCACTAAAATTTTTATTCTGCTGATTTCGATGGGACTTATTACTCTTACAAAACTTAGGTTTATGATTATGAAAAGGCCCCTTATTCCGTGATAGCTGAAAAGCTAATTGCACAGTTTCAACAGTTTCACGACGCATCCTATACTCTTTTTGGGCACAGACTACTATGAGGTCATTCAAATTCTATTTATCCCGCTGAGCATTGTAAGCAACCTTAAGCTGATTAAACTTGCTAGGAAGGCTATTCAAAACATGATAGACCAGGAAAGGTTCCGCAATGGGAATGTCAAGAGCCTTTAGCTTAGATGATATATTTATCATTTTCATGACATGCTCCCTAACACCACTTGTGCCATCATATCTCATGCTCATCAATTTATCCATCAGATCCCCAGTTTCGATTTTATCAGACTCAACAAATTTTTTTCCTATGGCATCCATAAAACTTTTGAAATTTTCATTATCAGGGATGGTACCTAGAATGGAATCAGATATCGATCGCTTAATGATTTTCAAACAGAGTTTGTTAGCCCTTTCCCACTTTTTATGCTCGGCTACATATTCAACGGTACTCTTATCTGTGAGTTTTTCAAGCTTTTTCTCTATTACAAAATTCAAGCCCAAAAGACCAAGTATTATTTCTACCTCTCGTTTCCATCTCACATAGTTATTCCCAGTCAAAGTTTCAATAGCAGACAATTGATTCAAAAGAGATGAGGCATTATAAACTGTGGAAGCATAAAATAGCACACTTAATATCATCTAAACGTAATGCATGCAATCAAATGGATGATATAATATCCAACTAATTAATATGGGCTATTAATAAGACAATCCGTAATTTAAATCGAAACATATGAATTTCATTACGGTAAGAGCCTAGATGCATCATTGTAAAGTCACCTTTGGGCCGACAATACAACATGCTATAAAGTACTCTTAAAATACATTATGTAGTTAGTTAACAAAATTACATTGATTTTCGAAATTCCAACACCTTTGGGCAGAAAGAAATTTCTAAACCAAAATAAGCTCGTTAACTGCCTTATGCCATTTTTCAAAAATATTACATATAACAACACCTTTGGGCAAGATGTTATATGCAATAAATCATAATTGTTGTGCAAATATATATATTATTGTAGAGAAAATCGAATAAATAATAATAAGTGTGCCACTTTGGCAGCTACTACCCATTTTTATTTCAAAATATTTCTCTTTGTGGGAAAAATAAGGATCATCTCAAATTCCATAAAAATTCAATCACATAACAATAATTACGCAACAAATCATAATCATTAATTGATGAAAGACAAAAATTCATATGTGATTGAGAGACGAAATTGACAACAAAATTTCAAAAAATGAAATTTAAATGCATAAATAATGGCAATATTTAAATACATATACAATTTAATGAAAAATATAAAAGCCGTCAATCAAATTATTATTATTATTATCTAATATATTTTAATCGGGTCAATTATCAATTAAAGTTTTAATTTGGTCAAAAATAAAATTTTAGGGTCAAAAGTTTAGAAGTTCAAATTTAAGAGCCCCTTATTGAAAATTACATTTTAATACTAAACACAAATTAAAATCAGGTCCTGCACATTTAAAATTGCATGGCAGGTCCTTATTTAAGTAATTACAATATGACCCCCAACTGATAATTGCAAACAGGGGTTTGAAAATTGGTTATTTATGGCAGAATCCCCCGTCTACATCTTTGCCAAAAATCGACAAAAACAAATTATTTTTTTTTCGCGGCGCCGGGCTGCTGCCTGAAACGCAATGGCAGCCGGCGGCCTCCCCCCAATTTTTTTTCCAGAGAATTATGGACCAATGGGGAGATGGAAACGGGAGAAGATTAAGATAAAGTGTCTCAAGAACATGATCATGATTCATCCATCTTTTGTCTGTTTTGAAGAATGATGATACATAAATTTGTCTTCTTGAGGAACCAGCAAGCTGTAAAAATTTTCAGCCACAGAATTTGTTGCATTTTGAAGAAAAGAACATGATGTGACTCACTTTTCCTGGTGTTGATCTTTTTCATGTTGGAGAAGATAAATATTTTCTTGTTCTTGTAAAGGTTTATATACATACAAACACCAACAATCATTGGGCAATCAAGATCCAATTGTGATGTCAGTGTGTAAAAAGTCTAAATTTTCATTGCAGTTCTTTTCCACTTACTCTTATGCAAATTACATAAATCTAAATTCTAGATCAAAATCCACACAGAGAACTGTCCGAGAAAGAGGAGAAGCACGGTACATAAAATAATTCAAAAGATTGGAAAGCATTTATTGTTCAGATTCTAAATATATGCACGGATCACGATGTTGGGCCATGTTAATAATGAATTCATATTATAAATATATGCACATATCACGGATTTAGGGAAAAGAATTTCATTAAGGATTTCGATCTTAACATCTAGGCTCTGATACCGATTTGTTAAATTTAGTTTTAATCATGTTAATAATCGATAATCACAACTCTAATAAATTAATAGAAACGAATTCATACATGCGGAAGCCATTGTTAATATTAATAATAGTTGTAATAGCAGTCAAGATCTTCACCTCTTTGCTTTTCACAAAATATTAGCTATCAATGGAGCAAGCCAATAAAAACATATGGAGAGGAGAGTGGACCTAGCTTTTATATAGGAAATAATTTGAGCCATCCTATTACGATTAGAATTCTAATTAGGGTTTATTTTCGGCCCACATACTTTAAATTGTCACATCAAATTAATTACAACCCGTAAAGTGTAAAAAGACTCAATTGATCACTTAATAAATTTGACCCAAACACAATATCATTATGAGCCATACATTTAACCCGTAAAATTTACAATCGAATGTGAAGACCACATATGGAATCATTAATTATTCCAACAAGGTGCTACTTCTGATTCGTCATTCATTTTCCTTTGGAAAAGTTTATGGGTTTTCGTGGATAGCTCCAGTTCATAGCAATTTGCGGTTTTTTGGTCGTTGTAGTAATGAAAGTGGACCTCTCTTGGTATAAAGAATGAAAGGGATGAGAAACATAAACTGAATCAAGGTTTCCACAATTGAAGTCCCAAGAAGAAGAGAAAAAAAGGTTAATGTTACTGGGATTAAGAGTTTAAGGAATAAAGAGAGTTGAAGCTGAGGCCTTGGCCCCCTTTGCTGCCAAATCCTTTTCTGGGCTTGGGCTCCAGCCATTATTAGTTGAGAGGTTAGAGAGGGAAGGCTATGAAGTTCCCACAGATGTTCTGGCTGCAGCCATTCCCCCAATTCTTAAGAATAACGATGTAGTTAGTCAATCCTACACCGGGTCCGGGAAAACATTGGCGTATTTTCTTCCTGTACTCTTAGAAGTGGGACCAGTTAAGGAGAATGATGAACCTAGAGACAAGATGGACATAGAAGCTGTGATGTGGCACCTTTAAGGGAGCTTGGAATGCAGATTGTCATAGAAGTTGAGAAGCTTCTTGGACCTACTGATAAGAGATTGGTGCAACAACTTGTTGGAGGCGCGAACAGGTCGAGGTAGGAAAAGGCTCTTAAGATGAACAAGCCATCCATTGTCGTTGGAACACCTGGGCGGATTGTAGAAATCAATGCAACCGGAAAGCTTCATACACATTGCTGTCAATACTTGGTTCTACACTAAGTGGATCAAATCCTTACATTTAGTTTTAGGGAGAATATGCATCGCATAATATAGCAAGGATCTTCTTCTGATTCCAATCTAGCACAAACTTACGGACTTAAGCTCCAATGAGGCTACCACCTTCTCAGGGGCGGAGCCAGGAATTACTGTTACGATGGGCTAAAAATTTTAAAAATTTAATGTATGAATAAAATTTATATATAATAAGAAAAATTTATAATATAAGTTACCTATTGAAGTTGTACTCGGCGATGTTTTACAACATAAAAGTCCTCTATAATAGAATCTAGATCTAAATTCATACTAAATTCTCGTCCACAATCGAACTCGAACCCAAACCCAGGGTTCCCAATTCCACCAAGGAATTAATGTTGATCATATAGGGTCGAAGCACACCCTGTAGCAAAAATCAAACCAGACGCTTGATCAGAAAGCCTCTTGCTGGAACTGTCGCCTTCAACGTCCCTAGAAGCATCCCAAACATTGCTGACACCACGGTACTTAAACTTGTCAAAATGTCCCCTTTTAACTGGTTCTGCACTCTCCCTGCAAAATGTACAATTAGGATCTTTTCCGTCCCTTCAGTACAATTCGGATTCCCTTTCGAACCTTCAAGACTCCACCTCCTCCAGAGAATTTATATCATTTTGCATCTAGGGTACTTAGCGAAATGAGATTCCTTTCTAGGCCAAGAACATGTCGAACCTAATCAATTGTTTCAAATGTTCCATCCCGCAGCCTCAATCTGACTCGACCGATCCTAGCAATACGGCAAGATTGGTTGTTTTCCATTACAACTCCACCTAGCTGAACAGCCTCATATATCTGAAATAAATTCCTATCGGAACACATATGGTGCGAACATACTGAATCAAAAATCCACTCCTCATCAGGCCTAGATTCCACATCAGATACTACAGTCAACATCACCTCTTCGCCAGCTGAACAATTCTCAACTCGTCTGAATTCAAAGGTTGCACTCCTCAATTTACAGCTAAATCATCTTTAGCTTGCAACATATCGCAACCCTTCTGAATATGTCCCTTCATTTTACAGTAATAACAGGTCATATTGCTAAATCTAACTCTCGATCTCCCTCTTCATTGACCACCTTGAAATACAAGAGTTTCCCCATCCCTTGATATAGCTCCAACCAAATGCTTCATTTTCTCCTTTAAGTGAAAAGCATCATAGAATCTTCTATAGTCAAAGTATCTTGACTATACAAAATAATATCCCGAAACGACGCATAAGATCCAGGCAACGAACACAACAGGATCAAGGCAAGATCCGCTTCATCGTACTTAATCTCCAACGTCTCCAGATCTGCAACTATTCCTTGATCACGACAATGTGATCTTCCAACAATCCTCCTTTCGTCATGCGATGAGAATACAACTTCTACTTAAGAGCCAGTTTACTAGTAAGACTTTTTAGTCATATATAACTGCTCTAGTCTCAACCACAAAGCAGCAGTTGTCTTCTTCTTCAAGACATCTTGCAGAATATTGTTGGATAAATGAAGATAAATCAATGACACAGCCTTCCAATCCTTCTATTGTTTCTCCTCCGTTATCCAATCAGCTGGCATCTTCTCAAAACCCAGCAACGCACGTCCAAATCCAACTACGTCAAAACACCCATCATCTTTACTTGCCATAAAGAAAATCTTGTATTACGATCTAGTTGCAGAATATCATACTTCAACCCAACCATCTCGAAAAAATCTCAACCAATCCACAGAAAATCGACAACCTTGCTCTGATACCACTTTTTGGGCGCAGAAGCTCCAATAGCACACGTTGATTTCAAATCAGATTATAAAGAATGAATTTAATAACAATATTGAAGTATACTAGATCACACCACGAAAACACAAGATTGAATTTGTAAAAAAAAAGAAACACAAAGAGTAAATGCAGAGGAACGATGTTTATTAATTCAACGGTATGGACAATACAAGATAGACTAACAATGCTGTTTCTATGTTACTCTCTCTATAAACTGACCAGAGGAGCCTCGTATTTATAGGTCAATCCTAGAAGAGTTCTAAAATGCAAGAAAATATATTACAATTAAGAGATTCAATTTCAACAGGATTTTGTTTCCTTATTCAACTTAGTTTCCTTAAGCCCTAGGTTAATATTCTCCTAGTCCAAGTCAAATGCGCCTCTTCAAAAGACTCCTATTTGAGTCATACTCCTAACAAGCTCTTGGGATGAAAGATGCAGAGCTACATGTGGATCTTAGTAAGCTTTCTAGATCAACCATCTTAAAGAAATTCAGGAATGGGGAATTGAGAAGTGACGAATGAACTTTCTGTTAGGGGATTGTGTTAGAATTTTGGGGTGACCCGAATTCTTTTGTTGAAATAATTATAGAATTTTAATTAAAGTGCACGTCAAGAAAAATTCAAGTTGGAATGCTTTGAGGAATCATATTCAAGTTTAATTGTCAAATTCTATTTAAAGTTCTATTTTGAAGCCCATTGGAAGTTGGAATTTAAATTGGACTTGAAGAGTTCAAATAGGGAAACTTATAGGCATTTTATTTCATCTACAACTCTACTTCTAGATATGGATTTTTCCCTATAAATATAAGGCTCCTTTGTCAGTTTTGTGAGAAAAATTTTTGCTAAGTTGTACTTGTTTCTCCATATTATTCAGTAATAAACATCATTCCTCTACGATTAACTCTTTTTGTTCTTCTTTACTTTAAATCTTGTTTTCGTGATGTTATCTTGTTTGCTTCAATATTGTCATTAAATCTCATTCTTTACAATTCGGTTTGGGATCAACAAGTGGTATCGGAGCTTCCGCTCCCAACAGATTGGGTATACAAGGATGTGATCTTGTAGTTAATCTGGAATTACCCACTGACTCAGGATTGGATATTCCCTTTCTTTCTGAAGCAGAAAGGTGGAACAAGAATTTTCCAGCTGATAAGCAGGCTCTTATATAATTAGAGATGTGAGCTGCATGTTTGTTACTTGTTAGATGACACTAATAACTCACTGCCCTTACTCTTATATTTTCCACGTTGCACTTTACACAAATTTATGCATGGAGGAAAGGAAAAAAAGAAGAAGCGGAAAAGGTTGCACAGGAAACTTTTTTATGTTATTCAGCTAAAACATGAAGGTAACAAATTTCTGATTGGCCAGCCATAAGCATTGTATTAGTATTATTTCTGACATTTTTCGAGTCAGGACTCAGAACATATTGATGCTCGTAACCAGATATCAATGCCTTTCCTGTTTCAGAGGAAAAAGAAAAATGTATAGCAAATCCTTTTCTTGGTACAGTTTATGAAAGCTGTTGGAGACTCTGACGGATGATTATCACCATATGATCCTCTTACAGATCTTATAGCCTGATAGGAGTGCACTAGTTGCAATGACTAGGAACAGAGCAAATGACATGCATACGGAGACAGTAGCTGCTTTCCATAATGATGTCCTGTGGTCCATTTGTTGGATGACAGGCACAGAAACAGAAGAAGATGAAATGAGGAGGTAACCTGCAAACTATACATGGTAGCGATAAATAGCGATCCTTTACTTTGAACAGAGGGGGAAAATGTAAAACACGAAGTAGCGAATCATTGGTGTCTCTCAGTTGGAAGGTGCTATCATATTTGTTCTTGTGAAATTCTGCACCCAAATTATCTTTTTAACTCCATCTAATAGTTACTGTGAATAACTCTTATCCTTTCTTTGCTGTTTCCACTGATAGTAAGTCTCTTTCTAAAGTCATGTGCAGGCATACAAATAGAAGGCACTTTCAGAAAGTTGCAACAATTAAAAAAAGGAGATGAATATGGGAAGTTCAATCACCTGATCAAAAATGAAGCTGATATAGTCCGATACCATGTCGGAGATGAACACACCTCTGTGGGCAATGTCACAGATTCCTTTAAAGAGCTGATAGGCTGCATATAGGAATGTCAAAATGTTCACAATGAAGCAGTACCTGTACAGATTTAAAAAAAGGAATTTCTATTAAGATTTGCCTCTAGTTACTCCAAGAATTTTATTCTTATTCAGGCTGTTCAAACTTCAAGCATAATCAGATGAGTGCCTATTTATTTGCCACCGGTATCTATGGATTTTTTACGACTCGAGGTTGATCATCGATAGCTTTCGAAATAATTACAGATGCTTACAGTAATTTTGTGTCATCGTAGAAGCTTGGGGATTTTCCGATCATGGTCTTTGCAGGTGATGGGGCAGCTAGTGAGAGAGCGGAGCTAAAGGAAAATACGAGCGCTAGTAACCGGAGGAAGAGATTGGCAGCCTGAAATGGTGATCGAGAGCTCCATCGAATTGTTGCAACAGAAAACGAGAATGGAGACGGTGTCATCGGCACAGGTAGCTCGGCCGGGGAGCAAGATGGAATAGGAGCAACACTAGACATTGATCCACAAGTAATCTCTGTATCATTTCTCTCTTTCATATCAGTTACTCTCTGTAAATGCTTTCTTAAATGAAACTCTGCCAAGACTGTCAAAACTAGCTTCTTGTGAGTTTCCAGTCACAGATTCTTGCATAGAAAAATGATAATTGTAATTAGTTTTTCTTCTTTAATTATAATTGGTTTTGGATTGTGATATGTGACTTGAGCATGCTTCAAGAAAGTTTATGAATTTCAAATGTCAGCAAATTTTAAGAATAACTTGCTGGGGTCCAGTATTAAGGTTTAAACAATTCCAAATTGGATTGAAGTTTTGATCTTAAATAGTAATTTACGTTAGACGTGACATCGACTGACAATTAATTAGGTGAACGCTGCTGAATTTTAAGAGCATTAGGTGAAATCATTAACAATTGTATAAATATTTTGGTCCATTTGCAATATACTTGAGCAACACTCGCTAAAAGCATTTCATAATCAAGATTAAGAAATTAAGCAATGATTTCGTTTTACGAAAACAATGGGACGTTATATAACACAATATAAAAGCAAGTAGTCTTATAATATCATATCTCACAATCATTCATTTATGAAAATTGTGTCAAGTTTTCGATTTGTGTTCCTGTGGAAAAAAGTGTGGGGCCTACTCGGAATTCGGGTTGTGCATGTGAATGAACATGATCCATTGCAGATAAGAAAATGCAAAATCCAATCTTTAGGAGTTTCAAATTAACTCCTTTCAACACAATCCAAAATACAATTCTAATTTTGGAATCGATAAATTTGAGTCATCAAATTCAGGACATGATTTTAAAGCAAGTATTTGTAGGGGTCGAATATCGCCCCCAAGTACAACTGCTCGAACACAAGCTTGTCAAGGTTTGGATTGGTAACCCCATGGATTCTGGCTTGCCCACTTCCATTGGTCCCTGCTCATTTCATCTATACCATATTTTGCCCTGAAAGTTGAAATACAAATTTCACAATGGAAGGAACAAACAGTGAATATAATCGAAAGCCCCCCAAATGCACAAACTTACTTCCAACCGAGCTCTTTCTCGGCTTTCTCTGTTGAAGCATAGACTTCGGTGGCATCTCCCGGCCTTCTCGGACACAGTTTAACCGGGATTTTCTGTAAGAGAAGAAATGAGCACGTAACTGATATTTGTATGCATGTCATGAGTAAAGGTAGAGAATCACCTTGCCAGAGGCCTTTTCGAAAGCAGCTACCATTTCAAGGACAGAAGTGCCACGTCCAGTCCCGAGATTGTATGCAACACAACCTTTAATGAAATTTATTCATTAGAAGAAGTAATCTGACACGATACTATCATAAAATCACTAAAGAGGTTAGAATGAAGAATCTAATCACCTATATCCTTGAGTTCTAGAAGCTTCTGAAGTGCAACGACGTGACCATCTGCTAAATCCATAACATGGATGTAGTCTCGGATCTGTTCAAGAAGAAATAATCAAAGCATGTTCGAATGAACAATAACACATTTGCAATCATGTCATGGACTTTCCACCATTGCCTCAAAGTCTTTAAGGGCCCGCATGGTAGGGTCTTTGCTCCTTGTAGAAGAGCTTCATCGGGAAGTCACTTTGGACTAGTTTTCTCTAAAAACTCTTCTAGTGGATCAAAGTACTTCCAAAAAATTAAGCAAATAGATTCAAAAGTAACTTCTTAGTATGAGAAGTTGCTCATAGATTTTAGCTTTTCAAATGTCCTGCAAAACGGGCCCTAATTCTGGGATATGGACACCCCCTCTAGCCATAGCATTCGATTGTGTTTGGCCATTCCAATACTTATATAATTTCTAGTTCTCATAATTCTAATCAAAGGATCACTGATCTATCTTCAGCTTTCTAAAGTTAAAACTTTTCTTCGACGCATGCTTCAAAGCATGGTGTTAGTTACAATCCATCACAACAGCTGAATATGTTGATTCCTAAACTCACTCAGGATGGAAATTAATATGGCAGGAAAAGATTTCTTGGAGTGCATAATTAAAGAAATAATCAAGAATAACACGAGTCGAGTCTGCATACCGCACTACCATCACGAGTGGGATAGTCATGCCCGTAAACATTTAACTCCGGTAATCTGCCAACAGCTACTTGTTGTATATAAGGCATAAGATTATTGGGAATTCCCTTTGGATCTTCTCCAATCATACCACTCTCATGAGCCCCAACGGGGTTGAAATATCTGAGCAAAATGATTCTCCATTCTGGATCCGCCCTGTGAATATCCCGAGCTACATCTTCAAGAACCAGCTATGTGAATGACAGAAAAACGGATCATGAACTTGTAACATTAGAATAAGTAAACTCAATAACAACAACCACCTCCATTTGGTTTAGTTCATTGCTATATGTAGTAGAAGATATTTTGAGCTACTGAACTCAATAACACTTGCTCCCCTCTTGAACAAACTACAAATGTCATTGATTTGGAAGAAGAAAATGACTGTTATAAAATACAAACCTTTGTTCGGCCATATGGATTCATAGCCTTCAATTGAAAATCCTCCACGCACGGAATTTTATCGGGTTGACCATACACCGTTGCAGAGGACGAGAAAACCAACTGGGCACCAAAAACAATCAGATTACACGAGTCGCCAAGAGAGCGAATACGAGAAACTAGACGGTGGTTAGAAAAGGCACACCTTCTTACAGTTATATTTTTCCATTATTGTGTATAAATTTATTGATCCAATCAAGTTGTTGTCGAAATATCGAAAAGGATAAGCAACACTTTCACCAACAGCTTTTAACCCAGCAAAATGAATCACAGCATCAAACCTATTACATTTCGCATTACAAAATAAAAAAAAATATATATAAGGGGAACAGATTCAACATCACATTCAAGAACCAAAATAATAACACTTACTTATTTTGAGAAAACAACTTCTCCAAATCATGCTTATTTCTGATATCACCCTGCAGCCAAGAAAGTAATTGAAAAAAATTCAGAACCAATTAAGCCCTGGGATATATGATCGAATGCCGTAAACAGTTTAGCCTTTTGTCACTGACTACCAATTGATATTTAGATGAGATGTTTAAAGTCAAGCAGGGTCATTGTTTGAACCACAAAAGCGTCAGATTCAAAGGGATTGTTGGTCACGATGGTGGTCGAATTTAGACTTTGTAGAATTCATTTCAAGAATTAGCCAGACCCCCCAATTTCACAAGAAAACCAAAGAAATAATATCAAGATAAAAGCATAATACCAAATGAAAATCCAGATTCTGAGACAATTGAGGTCCAACCAACTTTCTGACTCTATGAATTGCCTCTTCCACTGCGTTTCCAAGGTTGTCTATTATCGAAACCTTAAAACCTCCTTTCAAAAGCTGAACAACAGTGTGTGTCCCTATGAATCCAGCACCGCCAGTCACCAAAATCCTCTCTCTCCTTGAACCAGCCATTGTTAACAATGAAAACCACTAAAGAAAAAATGCCCACTGCCCACTAATACAAGAAAATCTTCAAGTTTTATATGGAAATTTTTGATTATATACAAGGGTTGTACGAGGATATGCTTGTGATAAATAAGGATAGAGTTTCAGCAAATCAAGAAGACTCTTGTGCAGATAAAAAGATGACGTACAAAGGGATTTCAATTATGGAATGTTTGGCGGGAAATGTAGTTAGGTACGGCCAAATTATATTGGGAATTGAACCTTTCCGACAGGTGCTTTTGATCTGAATAACCCTTAAAGCATTTCTCGACTTAGCGAGGTCCCATTTTGTCTATGAGATCTCTAAGGAATCTTGAAAATTAGTTGGGAGTATTGGTGCAATCGTGCCTTTGAAGTGATTTGATGAGAGACGAGCGTTAGTCGAAAATTTGATAGACAAACCATAACTACGAGGTTGATTTTTATTAGTTTATCTTAACTGAATATTGGTTTTATTTATTCATTATTGCTTATTTGATTAGGTAGGAGTTATTAATTGTCCTTAGAAGAGAATAGATTTAAAGTGCAATCTGTATTTAACTTTTACTGTTATTCATTTAATGATATTATGCACGTTGAAGACTTTGATATAAAGCAAATGAAATGTTATTATATTGAAGAGGTGTGTTCATATCCTTTATTAACATTTACGTCTTCACCTTTCTAATTGGAAGTTGTTACCAAATCATATTTCACAACCAAAGGAGAAACGTCTTGTACCATCAAAATCATTGTCAACAATCTATAATATATACAAAAATGATAAACAAACATGCTCAAAAACAGGGAATGAAAAAAGACTGATGTGACATTAAATTGGTAGATTTTTTATTTTATTTTTGAAAATTTTTCAAACTCTCCAATCATACATCAACACGCATGCAGCCTGTTTTTAAACTTTTTTTTTAGTCAATTTCTGTAGCATTGCTCTAATATATATATATATATATATATATATATATACATCAAATCATAACCACTCAATGTTTACTAGCCAATAAAGTCATTTAGAATCCATGTTACATCACTACATTATAAAATTGGGGCCACATTATGAATAACGTGAAGTAAGTGCATACATATCGCCATCATATTTAATACTCTATTTTTCCTTATCTTCTAAGTTACTTCTTGAGTTGGCCGTTAAATATGATAAGAAAGAGGTCAAATAGATATGGATTTTTTTATTTATTTTTTAAAATTTTAATGTTCGATTTATCAAGCCAAATATGCTAATTTGATATTGTTCGTAAATGAAATCGAAGAAAGAAAATGATATCATTAATTACAAAAAATTAAAGTCAAGAACATAAGTTTACATAGTGAGCATTTAATTCAATTAATGTGGGAAGAGTTTGGATATATATATATATATTTTTTAGGAATCCCAACTGTTCATCAGAGTATGCACCAAGCTCATATTTGAAAACTGGATAAGAACGTTGAATTTATAGAATGGATAATCATTAATTAAATATTCTTATCAGGGAAAAAAATTAATAAAAAATAAAATTCCACGTTGGCCAAATAGATCTCACAGACCTTAGAGAGGATAAAATTGACACGTTGAGATCTACTGTCCCTCTTGAATTTTAATACCTCAAAATTTTGATATAT